CTTTCTCAGAATGTAAATTCTTCTGTAGAATCATCTTTTGAATGTAAGAAACTCTCTTCCCTTTCAGGTGGGTGCTTATATATCTTCCTGTTATTTGTTATCCCACATATCTTATGCACAGCTGGATGAACCATCTATTTACATATTGGAGGCAGCCACTAATATTCAGTGAAGGTGTAAATCTGAACCTGCTGACTAAGTCATCCTTCTGATGTATCTGGCTTCTCTGAAGCTCTGGTGTAGCATTGAGTGCAAAGTTTATTTTGGTATCCTCTAGGGTGAGTTCATTACATATTGGGGTCGTCACAGATCAACTTCTCTTATTGACATTAAATTCAGATCTGGTATTTCCTGGAATTAAACACATACTACATTTATATTGACTCTTAAATAGTTGTGATGTTAAATTTTATATTGTCTGATACATATGTGTCTGGCTATTTTATATACAAGGGTCAACTGAAAAGAAGCTTTCATCCTGTTGGGCAAAAGTCAACAGCAGATATACCATCATTGTCACTACAATAATGTATTTTTTCATCTTGGGGAATAGATAATAGTTAAATCAGGAGAATATAGATAATGATCAACCAGTTCAGACACAATCCTGCACGGCTGCTATTTTAACCAAGGTCTTGTGTGCTGGAGCATTGTCCTGATGAAACAACACCCCTTTTGTCAGTTTTTCTGGGTATTTTCTCTAAGATTTAAAATCCAAAAGTCATATTTTTTTATATAGATAATGTTTTATTTTTAACAACCACCACTTCAAAAATTTATTTTCTGAAAGGTTTACAAGTTTTGAAAGAAAATAATACTCATTTAAATGGACTAAAAAATTCCTTAATTTAGTTAATGTATTCTTCTATTTACTCATTTTTTTTTCCTTCTATCCTACAGTCACTTGTCATTGCTGGAATTGGAGATCTCCAAAGACCTGCAGAAAAACTCAGTATCACCCAATCTGGTGCCCTGATGGCCACAGGTAATGACCAGAAATTTCATCTTATTTCTGCAAATTTCCATCTTAATCTCTAAATTAAAGTTAGGTGGAATTGTACAATAAGCACTGCAGCCAGAAGTAATCTTTTGTTTTTAATATTGATATAGATTAAATACTCCAGATCACAAATATAGGAAAAATTTTTTTTTATTAAATTTTTATAAAAGTTGATAGTAGTGGGGGAGTGGCCAGTTTACTATATAAATTGATCCCCTTACAGGAATTAAAAACAAATATGCTCGTACAGCATGATTTATTAAAATTAAAAAAAAAAAAAATTCCACATTTTAATAATCCGTATAGTGAGTGTGTGTGTGTATGTGTATATATATATATATATATATATATATATATATAATTGGTAAACTGGACCCCCTCCCAATTAACTTTTAAAATTTGATATTAGTGATCTGGAGCACTTGACCTTTAGTAATATGAAGAAAAAAAATTGAAAATGACTATTTCAGGTTGTAATATCTACTTCACACAAAATTAGCCCAATTATTTTTGAGGATACTTTAAAGAAAAAAATAATTCCTTAAAATATGAGTACTTTATTTTACTCCAGAACATAATTCAAAATATTTAATGTAATGGCAATCGATATTAGCACTTGGGAAGTTTAACATGGGAAAAGGACAACAGTATGAGCTATCTCGTGAATACTAAACTCCCTAAAACTGTAATGACTTACAAGATGAGATAGTGGATGCCTTAATGATCAACAAATAGATTAGGTTATTCTGGTACAAGGCAACAAATATTGGGCACTGGGGACAGAATTTTGTGGTAAAAGTTCTGGGTAGCCTTCAATGAATTTCAAACTTAATCATTTATTTAATCAGGAAGATTATCCAGATTGGAAAACACTTCACAGTCAGAGGACACAAATGGCCAAAATATTTGGATAACAAAGATGGGGATATTAGTTTGAATGTAAATAATAACTTCTCATATTCAAATCCAACTCATTAATGCTGTTGAAAACTAATTTTTCTTAAGGGTTCATAAAAATGGAGGTCTAAAAAAAAAAAAAAAAATAATGTAAAATAAAATCTTTTGTTTTTAGTTGTTTCTTTTTAATTTTATATTCTTAAGAACTTGAAATTTTTTTTTTGTTTGTTGTGTACCACTTTCCATTGAAATCTTTTGCTCTTTTCTTACCAAGGCCTGATCTGGTCTCGCTACTCACTGGTGATCATCCCAAAAAACTACAGTCTCTTTGCAGTCAATATGTTTGTTGCACTAACTGGCATTTACCAATTAAAGAGAATTTTTATGTAAGTAAAAAAACCTTTCATTATGAGTTTTTAAATTTTATTATTACTGTTTAATGATTTAGAGCAAGCATTTTTTAAAATTGAGATTTGTTTTCAAACATGTCTGTAATTTTGAGATGGTGCATTGTCATTATTTGAACTTTTTGGTTATATTTTTCTTGGTTTAATCAATCTTCAACATTCATTGAATCAAATGCTTTCAGTAATTTTATTTTAGCCACCTTTTCAATTGAAACAATTCACAGGTGGTTTCCACTTGAGGAAGATGGCAGATCTAAATTTGGATTTTTTGTGCCTTCATTATCGTATAACATGAATTCATGAATTATTGTCAAGTTTTTAGACACAATATTTTTGGGGTGGTAAAGGTCACAACTTGAAGACTTATGCTAGAGTATATTCATTCAAGATCTGAATCTTTTACATTCTGCAAAACTGTCACATTTTTAACAGTATTTTTAATAAGGATAGACATTTACATGGTAAATATCATAAAATGTATTTCTTGACGAAAAAGGGTTTCAAAGACAAAGCCTATCCAGATTTTAATCCAAAAGAAAACCTTCAATCCATTGTTAAAATAGATGTATATAGGAATGAAAAAACAATATTCAAGCAATGAAGATCTGAGAAGCAATATAAAAATATTGTTGCATGTTAAAATTCAAACAATAGAACAGTTACCAAAGTAAATGGATGAGAGACTGAAGGTTTGTAGAATAGATAAAGTAATAAATATACGGTAGAAAAGTGAGGTTATAGAATGTCTATATTAATATATAAGAAATAATTTATTCAGGTATGTTAGGAGATTGTGTTATTCAATGTTTCCATCACCCTATATTTTTCAATTTATTTGAATAACTTATCTGGAAGGGTCACATTTTTAACAGTATTTTTAATAAGCATAGACATTTACATGGTAAATATCATAAAATGTATTGCTTATATCATATATCCTGACAATGTTTACCAACATCAGTTGTGTAGATACTGATTTGCATCGTAAAGTCTGTGTATTGTAAATCAAATGTGACTCCAAATAAGTTGGCATATGGGGAGCTGTTCAGTGCTGAAGTAGTCACTTTTTCGCAATGGCCAATGTAAGGTGTCCTATAAATTCACAGCAGACTACTGCCCTTTAGTTGGATGATTGGTGTTCTACAAGCATCACCATCTCACTGATGGTGCACATGTGTGTGTGATTTTATATAAAAAGAAAAGACAACGGAGAGTGTGTCTTCACGTGCATTCGCTGCAATTGACTCTCTCTTGTGTGGGCCTGTGCAGATATAACGGACACTGCTCTGCCATAACTCTTTGAGCACAGATCTATGATCTCTCAAAATCGGTAGCCTCCTCGCACACACTGTTCATTGTCTCACTTGGCTATGTTACGCTCGTGTACACTCTACTGAAGTGGAGCTGATCTGCTTAAGTAACAGCTTACAAACTATATACCAATTTTGTCTATTAAACTGTGCTTAAAAAAAAAAAAAAAATATAAATAAATAAATGGTCATGGTTTATACAGATTTTTCTAAAACCATGTTTTTTTTTTCTGTTTTTCTTTTTCCAGGTACAGAAAAGAACTGCAACAGGCTAAAGCAGAATGAGTGTTGTTTTCTTTTCTTTCTTTTTTTTTTTTTTAAACAGTCACTTACTTTGCTTACCACCAGAGAGTAAATGAAATGCAGAACCTGTTTGTTTTATTCTGTCTCTACTTATAAGGCAATCAGGCTTTCGTTCATGGTTGGGTGGTTACTTCTTTGATGCAATAATTTTAACATACAGCGGATGAAATAAATTATTTCCACTTTTGATTCTTTCTTTTCTTTTCCTCTTGTCATATGCAGCCTTTTAGTTGTCATTGTTACATGAAAGAAATTTTTCTTAACATTGACAATATACCTCTTGTTTTCTGTTAACATATTTATATTTAATTGACACTGACAAAATAATTGTCTTCTGTATGTCACTCATTATTTCAACCCGATTCCCTAACCCAAGCTCTCATAACATTGCATAACAAAATCGCAGTAACAGTGGTCTGTATTTAACTATTCAATATTTCCTTTTGTGGGCAAGTATCACCATCTCTTGTGTTTACTTCCAAAAATTTCCAGTCTTGAAGTTGAAACTTGGTTTTGTACAGTGTCTTGCAAAAATGAAAATTATTTTTTTTTTTTCCCCCTTGTGTACAAAAACTTACTAGATAAGAAATATGTCTTAACCTCAGTTAAAAGGATGTGTTTTTTAATTGCTGACTTGGTTTTGAAAGTCATTGATGTCGTTAGGCTTTTGTAGAGATCATCATTATTGTCTTTATTACTTCTTTCAGATGATCTTGGGATGTGGGGGGGGGTCATAGTTGTATTTTAGATTCACTCTCAGTTTGAAGTCTGGTGATGAAAATTCCCAGTCTTAGTAATTGGATTTTAATGTACATAAGTTAGTCTATTTATGATATAAACAAAAAAAAAAGTCTAAAGCAAAATCCTTTGATAGTGATTTCAATTCTCACCATGTATCACTAATATGGCCTTTACAAACATTTAGTTCTCAGGGCCCTTTTTTTTCTTTTTTCTAATAGAGAAATTGAATTCACTTTAGTAATTGTTCCTCATGTCTTCAAAACCACTTACCAACAATCACTACTCAATGATGTTTTAAAAAATAAAATGAGTTTTATTTAACAAAATGAAGAAACAATATTTTCATGTTGAGTAGATTAGTTGTCGACTTGAACTGCCAATAGAAATAAGATGTTGGGAAGTCTGAAAATAAAACAAGAACGAATAAAACATGTAATATACACAGGATAGGAAAACATGCTTTACTTCAAGTGATGATTAACATGCTAACCATAACGAGCTTAGATCCTAACTGAGTACTCTAAATTTGTGACCAAGTTTCATGTAATGGTGTTCAACCCTCAGTACAGTTATATTTTATTATACAAGTCACAATAAAATTACTATTAACTGATACTAGCAAAACTTACATTACCAAATTTATTGTAAATACTTTCATTTATACATACTGTAAGTTTTATTACGGGTCTCAAAGGTTGCTCATGATTTAGTAAATAGGCTTTAGATATAAAGATTGGCATGGGTTGTAAGGAAGATAATCAAAAAAAAAAGAAATTGAAACTATTAGAGTAATAAGCAATAAAATATCTGAAGAATCTGGTCTTGCAAATGTAAATAAAAAAAGATGAAAAATATTAAGAACTGACTAATAACAAGTAAACTTCACAAAGAGAATAGTTTTTTTTTTTTTTAAGTAATGAATGTACAGCTACATTGGATGAAGTTTATGCCTAAATTAACTGTTGGTTGCTTTATGGAGATAGGAAAACATGGGAGAGGCTAGTATTCTCATTTATAAAATTATAGGTCCCTTCAAAGTTGGTGATGGCATCCAGATAAACTTAAAGAGTTATTGTAAGTTCCTGCACAAGACATTTTGATTGGTACAAATCACAACAAAGAAGTTTTAAGTTACACAATATATTCATACAAAACAAGGCTTCTTAAAGTTCTGTGAAGCTGATTGTTGCCCACCTTGCCAAAATGATTTCAAAGACTGGTCCATTATTAGATGTATATGAGAACGGAAAATTTAACAAAATGTAATGGACTGATGGAGGTTACAGAATATGAAAGAGCTCTTATTTAATATGTAAATAATTTATTCAGATATATGGGATATTGTGTTAAAGGTTTCTATATCCTATATAGTGTTCATTTATTTATAAATAAGATAATTCCTGTACTTTGCATAATAAAAACTAATACCTTCAAAATAAACTATCACTGTTTTTAATGTGAAGGGATATAAGCTGGAAATTATATTGCATATTTATATCTTTATATATGATATTTATATATCTTGAAAGTTTTACCAGTATCAGTTGGTTAATACGAATTGTATGGTGTAAATGCTGACTTTCAGATCTGAGATTTTATGATGCAAGTCAATAAAATGTGTATATATAAGTTATTTACTAGGCTTAAGAGATAAAAGGGTGTTGACTGTTAAAGAATTTTTATTATGCTAACTTGACAAGTTTAGATATTAAACGAATACCCTAACCTTATGCCAAACAGAATTAAGCTTTGTAACTCACTGCTGGCATTGAAACCAACTTCACTCTTGTTTAATATATGGTGATTTAAGTCACATACAGTCTATAAGCCAGCATCTATATTAAGTGTTAGCTGTAACTATCCTGCTACCTCCTTCCCCTCTTTATGGAAGAAACTAAAAAATAATTCTGATTTCCTAACCTGTGCTTGATAGAAAATATGTTAATAGCCTTTGGATTGGCAATAAAACAAAAGATTACATAGAAATACGCATTGCAAGAGTAATACTACAAATGTATACTCATATGCAAGACTATTCCCAAAGAGGATTGACACTAACCAGTCTTTTCTCTCAAACAACATCAGTACACTAATGAAAACAACAGAAATAATACATTTCACTGATCAAAATTGTTGCACTAGCAAGGTCACATGATTGACAAAATTAATATTTTTTTTTTTTTTTTTTTTTTTTTTTTTTTAATAGAATGATATACAAATATGATTTCATGGCAATTCACTTATTACTTTGAAATATCTAATGGTTAAATTACAAAGTATTAAACACCTTGCCTTGTACTGCAGAATGTTTAAAGATTAAAAACGGGTCTTCCTTTGTGCCAAAACATCTGCCTAGTTTTTAAGCTCAATGTTTTTAAGTAAACAAAAGAACTTTTTCTACCAAAGCACCTTTTATGCCCAAAAGAATTTTGCTATATTTTTATTTGACAAAAGAGGAAGTATAAAATGAAAACTTCATATTTTTTAAGCAAATGAGTTTTGGTTTTACATAATGTGAAAGATAATCTCACCTGAAGGATACGAACTGAACAAGGAGTTCCATAAAAGTCCGAAATGGTTATTAGGCTTGTCCACAAATGAATAACATGACTAGAAAACAAAATTAGATTCATGAATATCAAGCAATGATGGAAGTTTAAAAAAAAAAAAAAAAAGATACAATATTTATGATAAAGCTTTTCAATGTTCATTTTCATCTTCAGAACAGTGAATAGGAGTGACTTTAATTATATTTATTCCTATAAATAAAAGTTCTAAAGGCTTATCTGACTTCAAGTTTCAAAGAAAACCCAAGAATTACAACTAATAATTGAATTAAAGATAAGATAACCTTGCCTATTATTGTGCTTTCAATTTTTCAGTGTGTCTACATCATTAACAAATGTAACACAATGTTGAGATTTAACAGTTATATCATGAAAAAATTGCTCAGGCCCCCATGTCACTTCTTTTGAGGACGCCTCAGGTGCCTGTTGATGACTCCAGCTTTCTCCTGAATAGGTATTGGCTGATGGTCCCTTGGGGCTTGAGCTTAATGTTATTTTAAAACTATCCAGCTGATCCACTTACAGTAAGCAATTATAGTCAACCTAATTACAATTAACTGTAAATAAAATAGTAAAAATAGTTTAATTGTGGTGATCCAATCACTCAATGAGGCCTGGGTTATACTTGTCAAAATATTATGATGAGATTTTGTCACTATTTTAGTTAATTAGACATATTCCATTTAGTCAACTGTTTTATTTAAGCTATTTCTCCCTCGAAGACTGTGAGCCTGGTCAACAGTTGTCGAGACTAAAATTGAAATATGAGAAAAATCAATAACTGATTTATTAAAAAAATATTCAAGATTTTTTTTATTTCACCCTAAGCAAGGCAATAAACCCACAAAGATGCAAGGTTGCTGAGTGTGACATAATATAAGAAAAAGGAGAGAAAAAAAAAGGAGAGAAAATAAAAGAACAGGATAACGACATTGCATTTAAATTTTTGAAGATCAAGATTGGAAAACAATAAGTTATCTTCAACATTTCTGTATTAATTGTCTGACTGAAAAAATTTTAAGCAATAGCTTAGAGCAGTGTTTTCAAAAAATGAGCTCCGTGGAGCCCTAAAGCTCTCCGATAGAGGTCCAGAGGCTCTGTAAGCCCTTCTATTATTTGTTTCATGCCATAAAGAACAGTTGGTGTTGCCAAGAACGAACAGTTTTTAAACACAAACCCTGATGTGCAAAGGGGGCAAACAAACTGAACATTTTTATACTTGTCTGTGAAAAAATGGTTAACAAATGCATTTTTATAATATTTTATAGCTATCACCAAAATGTGTGTATAGAAATAGGTTAATGCAGTGAATGATACAACGCTACAAGTTACATTGATCCTGCCTGACTTTGAAAAGCTTTACACCTCAAAACAACAAATGCAACTTTAGTCATTAAATTTTACTTCATTTTTTGTAAGTAGTAAGCATTAAAAATGTATTCTTTTTCACATGTATTTTTTAAAAATTAAACTATTTGGGTTTCATGAAAAAAATTGGGAAACCCTGGCTTAAAATAATATCTTGAATTTTTTTATTAAAATAATAAAATAATTTTTTTATTAAAATTGGATTTATTTATATTATGAACAGAACTCTTCTGACTTCTAAACCAATTTAAAAAACAAAATTTTTTTTGATTCTAACAAATGACGAGGTTTGAAGACGGTCTAATTTATCCCCACCAACCCTCTGCAAAAAATTTGTTTTCCTGTTTGTTGCTTTTAAGTAGTGACCAACAGCTTTTATACCACCTGAACTATAAAAGCCAACATTTGTAGATAAAAATCTCACCTTATTCATTGTTTTTTTAATGAATGATCAGCACTTCTGTATCGGATGTTTTGTTTACATACTGTATTAGTAGTAATATTATTTTGAATTTTATTATAAGATAAAATACTATCAATTGTTACTAAATTTTTCTAATATTTCTTTCATCTTAATTTCACTTGTTTTTCAATAATAATAATAGGTTGGTTAAAGTACAGAAATCAAAATTTACCTGTTAGGTACCATCAATATTGCTTCTTGTTCTTTTTCAAAGAATTTTCGAATGTAAATATTTGTAGCTGCCCCAATCTGGGAAAAGGAAAAAAAAAATGATACCAAAAATCAAGAGCGAGTTACTTATTGTACACCAAAGAGTTGTAGTTCATTGAAGAATCTTTCTTCCATTGAAAAAAATTGATTCCCCCCCGCCTCCATTTCTAAGGCAGATGTTTTAAACATTGTCTTTTGTTGGGAAAATGACTGTTGTACTTTTAATGAAAAATTACCCTTTTTTTTTTTTTTTTAGCATTGAGGCCCATCTTATGATGCACTCAATGTGATGTGACCCACTGTTCAAAAAAGGTTGCCTATGCCTGAGCTAGAGACACCAAGCACATGGTTTTCCATATCTAAGCCAAGTCTTTGTCATTTGAAATTTTAAACTGAATGCTAAATTCCTTAATCTTTAAGGAGTGGATAATCCTTTCCCTTTTGCCTTCCTCAGTGGATTTAAATCAATCATTATCAGCCTCCCCCACCAAAAAAAAGAATAGCAGATTCTCCATAAATCCCATCAAATGAAAACTGAACTGCTAATCTTTTTGAGAAATACTAAGTCAAAATTTCATGACTAATTTTTCTGTAATAAAATTTAAAGTGCATACCAGACTTTTAATTATTCTACAAGTGGACCCTGAAGTAGAAAAGTTGGGAAACACTGACTTATAGGAACACATAATAGCTAACACTCATCCTATTGCCATTAGTTGTAGAGTGAATGAATGAAGCAAATGCATTGAAGTAATGCATACACTCTGGAAATAATTTAAAGTTACCAACTACAAATACATTTTAAGACATTTTCATTGAAATTTTACCCCTACAAGTTATCAAAATAATTTTAGTCCTTTTCTATTGATAAAATAATAATTTTTAGATAACCCAATCATAAATACTTAGATATCAAATACTAAAGCCCAAAATTCAAGTTTAAAACATGTCCTCTACACTTATCCTAAGCTTATCCACTAAACTTTCTGCATAAAGGGTTTTCTCTTTTTCAGTTTACTTAAAGCAGCAATTGTTGAGGTATTTACTTAAGCATTATTAATGTTGATCGATTTGTTTTCTCCAGTTTATCCGCTTAATATTTAGCAGTTTATTTAAAGCCAAAAAATATTTTTTAGATTGTAAGAATTTTTTTGAGATAATAATGATTTAGAGTTATAAATCTTACTAATTAACCCATAGCTATGGGGAGAATAGGTGGATTCATACATTTCCCCCAAGGGTATTTTTGCACATAAGTGAATATAACAAACCCAACACTTTTATAGCAGATTGAATTAATACAATCTACCTCCATGGACTAAATAAAGGCTTCAGTCCGAAATTCCAACTAATATCTCCTGATTAGGGCTGGAGCATACAACAGTCGAAATGTCATGAATATGGTAGTAAAATGAGGACAACAGTTTGAATAGTGTAAATAGTTACAATATCACATCTCAAGAAATATAGACTGTATTTAGTAACCCTTTTTGTTTAATTTTACTTAATGGAGTTACATAAGATATAATGAAATTTGAATGCAGTTGCTTATAAAGAAAACTCAAGTAATGATCAAAAAGTCTAACATTACTTCATAGGGAATGTTGAAAGGTTTCTGGCCCAATCAAAAAGGGGTGCCAAAATAAATATTTGGTAAAATTTTGGAAAGTGAGAACATTTAAACACCCCATCACCCCCGGATATAAGATTAAGTTATTAAAGAACTTCTTCACAAAAGAAGATGCGTTTATTATACAATTTAATTTTTTTTAAATAATAAATAAGCAAATGCTTAAAGATGCAAACAACTGTTACTTACTTCTCCATACATTCGTTTCAAGTTTTGAATAATCAATGATTTGAAATTAGCAGCACTAATGGTTTGCGAATCCAAAAATTCTCTACAAAATAGAGAAATAAAAAATATTGAATGAAACAAAAAGTTATAAATTGGTGGTATTTGTATTGTCTCAGCCAACAAAATAATAATAAATAATGATAAAAAAAAAAAAAATGATACCAAAAAGACAGGGCAAAATGATTATTCTTTTCGTAGTGAAAAATCTACCTGGGACATCCTTATTCCAATCATCCCTTTTATTAAATATTCAGGAAATTTCTAGATAGGAAATAGAAAGATGTTGAAACAAACCAATGAAATATATATATATATACACACACACACACTTAACACTAGAAGGCTCAAGAATTAACAACAACAACAGTATATGTTTAGAAAACTGGAAGTCAAAAAGGCTACAACTGGAGAAAAAGATAGAAGAGGTTAAGGGGGGAGTGTAAAGTGCAAAAACATGACAAAAAGGACAGATAAGCATGATATTCTACACAAGTGCACATGTGCAAACATATGTATGCATACAATGAAAAAAAAAATATAAGCAGTCAATTGCTGATGTCCTCTAATGAGTAGAGGGTGCAATTCCTGGAGGGCCTGTCTCTAAAACTGTGTAGTTGGAATGCTGAAGATAGCATTAATCAGCTAAGTGACAAACCTTTTACTTGTATTAATTCTTTTCTTTTATATATATTATATATATATATATATATATATATATATATATATATATATATATATAAATTATAAATTATGTTATATTATAAATTATCTGATTTAAAATATGGTTTTTTTATTTACACATTAATAACCATGTTTAAAAAATGGAAGCTAAAAACTTTAAATTTAATTTTGTAATTAAATTAAAAACATTACTACCATTTCATCCTCAAGCGAATTTTGGAACTAATGTTTTTAATTTAATTACAAAATTAAATTTAAGGTTTTTAGCTTCCATTTTTTAAACATGGTTATTACTGTGTAGCGAAAAAACCATATTTTAAATCAGTTAATTTATAAATATTAATGCTCTGTAAATTTACATTGAGCACTATTTTGTAAAAAAAATAAAAATACCAATAAGAACACTGGATTACATATCTTACTGTTCTTTCTTATATATAACGGGTCACTCATATTTGAAGATACCCATCTACTAGTGTGGCTAGCCAATCCTTAATTCAGACACTCACTCAGGCACATTTGTGTTTGTTCAACATCCAGAGCCTACCTGTGGTTTATACTGCAACTATGCTGAGCAGACATTAGTTACAGTTTCTGGAAGATCAACAATCTGAACAAGGCTAGCACACTCAAACCCTCAGTCATGATGACTTGCGACTTTGTCCTAGCACAGCTATTGATGGCTCCCCCAAGTGTTACGTCTACCCAATTTCACACACAAGGCTTGGGTCAACCCATGGTGTGGTTTTTCTAGCACTTTCCAAAAGGTGCTGCATACTGATATCATTAGGAAGTCTCCTTCCTGACAAATCAGCAGCGGTAAGATTCGAACCTGGGTCTCATGCTGTGTGTGTGTGTGTGTGTGTATATATATATATAAAAAATGTACACACATACACTACAGGTAAAATGTTTGGGGACACCCTGCATTTCTTAAAAAAATAAAAACAAACAACACATCTTAAAATGAAATTTTTTTTTTTTTTAAGTAAATGATAAAAATTTCATTAACTATAATGTATTTGCTTTTATTTTGACAAAAATAAGCATTTACCTAGAAAAAATGATCATACAACAGCATCACATTTATTTCCTCAATAAAACCACTACCTGCCTTAATTATTGCTTTACAAATTCTCAGTATTCTTTCCAACTTTTTTTTTTTTTTTAAGTAGATGGCAGACTTTTCTAAGCATTCTTCTAGCACTGAAAAAGCTCACTCTCACTGTATTTTTTTGAACTCTCCTATCCAATGGTCATAGTTTCCGATTTTTTTTTTTTTTTTTTTTTTTGACTAAAGGTAATTTTAACATAATTTAGAAGAGGGTTTTGGATCATTGTCTTGCTGAAAGGTGAATTTTTTCAATTATGTGTAAACAGATGGTATAACATCTTTGCAAAATTGAATGATATTGTTCTTTTTTTATGATTCCCTTGACCAGAATCAAATCTCAAACCCTTTTGGTAATCTCAAAAGGTCTACTGAGGGGTTAACAGTGAAAACAAAATATAATCTTTCTCATAAAAAAATATTAATAATTTAGCAAAATGTATCATGAACAGACAAATCCAAATTTGAACTTTTTTTGGTAGTAATAGGAGCCTGGAGAACTTAAAAATTAAAGCAAATACACTGTAGTTAATGAAATTGTATGTTTTACTTAAAAAAAAAAAAATTACCTTACTTTAAAATGGAAAATTGATATCACTGGCAGTTGATGGTACAGAACATTTGATGGTATAAACAGGTACTTTTCTGTGATTTGGCTTTCTTTCACCAAAATCAAGATTCATTTAAAAAGATTCACACATTTTAAAAGACAAGGAAATATACTAACATTTTCACTAGCAGGTACCAATGTTTCAATGGAGATTTGCTGATAAATCTCTTTATTTTATTTTCCATCTTCATGGTCAGTTGAGCACACAATGTCCTGAAAGGCATAAAGATTACAATAGTATTAGATTCCCATTTGACTTCTATGAGGAGAACAATCTGGTTTAACCCAGGTTTTTATTGATAAATAAATGTATTTTTAAATTAAACTAATATTTTAAAATAGCAGCTTTCTGTCTAAATTTCTGGGATGAGGAGTTATCCCTATTTACAATTAGACTAATATCCTCATCTTTATTATTATCACACTCTTTCAGTCATTATCGCTTTCCATCTTTCTTCAGGCATCTGTTGATATGTATAACATTCAGGGAATTTGAAATTGAACCTTTTATTTAATCTATGGTGTAGAGTGTTCTTGTTCAGCTGTCCAAATGAAGAGTGTTAAGCTTGACAGCAAAATCAACAGCAGCAGTAAAATAGAGAAGCAGCTGGTGAAAGAGGGTCAAGCATTACTGCTAGATAATAGCTGTAGGCAGGAAATAAGAACATTAGGTCTGTTTCCCAGTTCTAGACTCAGGATTGTCCCACATGACAATAACCTTGTGCATAAAAGCATTTATTCATTCATTCATTCATTTGGTGGCAATCTCTGTACTGGGCAGTACAGATTTAGACTCAGTGTAAATAGGGCAAGTAAGAGAACCTGACAACATATCCCATAAACATGAATGAGAACAACCTACAGTGTAACCCAGATATAAGAGAGTTGTCGGAACCGGAGAAGAAGTCTCTTATATCCGGCTTTCTCTTATATCTAGGTTTGGTCTATTTTATATACATTAACACAGGCTCTAATTTGGGACCAGAGAACATCTCTCTTATATCCGGCTTTCTCTTATATCTAGGTTTGGTCTATTTTATATACATTAACACAGGCTCTAATTTGGGACCAGAGAACATCTCTCTTATATCCGGCTTTCTCTTATATCTAGGTTTGGTCTATTTTATATACATTAACACAGGCTCTAATTTGGGACCAGAGAAAATCTCTCTTATATCCGGGTTACACTGTACCACCATAGATTAAATAGAGTTTATCTTGGTTGATATAGATGTTATTATAGACAACATTTTGACCAAGTACTCTCTGGTCATCATCAAGTGTCAATTGATTAGCTGATATGGGATATATGTTGATTATTATATTTTGTCTCTGTGATATCAACTGTTGCTTATTCCTGCTGAATTGGTGCATCACTACCTGCATGCAATGAACAATAACTGATATCAGTCAGTCAGTTATGGGCCATGTGTGATACATGCTTAGGCGATCATGTATCTTTTCGATATGTGACTGATGAGGAAGATTTTTTTCCCCGCAGTAGGTTGCCATTTCTTTGTTGTAGACCAGTTGCCATCCAAGGCTATAGAACCCAGTCTGTCCTGCTATTTTACCCATAGCTGGAGGGAGAAGAGGATTCATACCTTTCCCAAAGGTATTAGCACATAAATGAATCAGCTCTCTGATTCCTCAATCCAAGCTGCTATCCATTACTCCACTGTGCCTCCTAACTGATATCACAGGGACAAAATATCACAATGATCAACATATATCCCATATCAGCCAACCAATGGACACATGATGATGACCAGAGTATACTTGGCTGAAACGTTTTGTCTATAACAACAACTGTATCAGCCAAGATGAGATCAATAGTTAGAAATAATAGAAGGATATCGACAATTACTCTTATCGCAAATTAAATACTCAACAGAGTTTAGTTCAGAAATCTCTGAAGGTTACCTGGATCCACAGAAACGTCAAGAAGACGAGAGGGCATAAAGGCCACAATGTAATGATAATAACAAAGATGAGGATATTAGTCTGACTGTAAATAGAAAAACAGCATAAAAATGTCACACATACAAGTTCTTTGCTTATACATCTTGAAGTTAATTAAAAGAAAATCCTCAAATTAGGAACATCTGCATAATTAAAATTATTCAGTGTTAAAAATTTTTCTCATAGAATTTGTTTACTATTTACAACAATTGTTCATTTTTAAATTTTCATAGATTTTCACTTAGCACAAAAAAGAAAAATATATCCAGAGAAATTGTTTAAAAAAGTACCTCTGCATAGAATATAAAAAAAGGAAAAAAAAATAAAAATAAAAAATAAAACAAACACAAAAAAACCTGCATTCATTTACAAAAAACAAAAACACCTTAAATCAGAGGGGGGGGGGGGTCTCAACTTTGCTTACCCTGTGCACCCCTTTCACCATTTGTCAGAATGCCATTCTCCCCCTCCTTTTCAAAGTGACTGGCCAGATAAGCCAAATTCTATAATTGCTCTCCTCCCTCCCACTAAACTTACTGTGGTCACAATTCAGCCCCGAAAATCAAAAATTCACCCACTGGGGGTGAATCTCACCCCTGTTGAGAAACCCTACCTTAAATGCAATGTTATTTTTTATCAATCCTACAATATGTTTGATCTGTTTTAAAATGCTATATCCATTCAGAAAGTAGTTGTGGGTTGCACCTCAGCTTATTTTTCTTTAATATATGTGAAACCCAATGACTTATTGGAAAAGATAATAGAGTGGTTTCCCTTCACTTTCTTCATGATTTTGACTCTAGGGTAACCTTTCTCCTAGACTAGCTGTCCTTCAAGGCTAGAGTCCAGTCTGGCCTGCTATTTAAGATATAGCTGAGGTGAAATAGATTCATTCCTTTTTCAAGGACACTAGTGTAAAGTAAAGTAGATTTGCCCAGAACTTGAACATGATATGCAGATTCCACTTTCTGCACTGCTAACCATTATACTATCCACACATCCAATATAATTGCTATTATGCCATGTAGTGTTCACGGTGGCAAATCATCTCCATTCCCTTTGTGTTCCTTTGAGAAAAAGCAAGTTCCATTCAGACAGCTTCTTCTTCAGAATTGTTACTGTGTGGAATAAACTCCAAAGACAATGCTTCCCTGAAAATTACAATCTTGCTTCCTTAAGTCCTGGGTCAACCAATATCATCCTCATAAAACTCTTAATTCACCCTTCCTTACAATCTCACTTAATAACCCTCTACCCTGAATAGCCCTTGGTATTTGTATTTGGAGAACTATCAGTAAATAATTTTTTTACAAAAAATGACAGATATAGTTAATTTGATTTTTGCCAGTTTGAAAGTTAATTTTGTTGGAAAATGAAGACTTATAATACAAATGAAAGACATTTTGGATGAAGTAAATTATTCTTGGAATTCTTTTCACAGAAAGAGACTGGTTCATTTTTTAAATATGCATTATCAATGAAATCATTTCTAAATTATTCAGAATCAGTTATATTAGTTAGTTATACAAGAGTTGTCTCTAAAGTAATTTGGTTGTAATTGTAGTAGGGATTGAACTTCCAATAATCTATATATCTTGCCTTTTTACAGGTAAGTGTCAGTAGAGTAAAATGGTATATGAAATTGCATTTAAGTAGAAGAGTATCATTTAATACCCCTATTACACTTATGATATTTATCAATACTTCCTGAATGTTTACAGAGCCCAAATAGTGGATGTGAGCACAGTTGTAATGATTTTCAACAGTGCAGAAATGTATGACAAGCCATGTTCAAGTCAATGAAAGATGGACTTTTTCGTGACATCATCATTGCCGTTATATAACTGTGGAACAATTGTGTTTTGCAGCTGAAAATTTGCTTTCTCCAAAAGTACTATTGTACTCCCTGTATTTGTTGTAGTTTCTATTGAAATAAGTAGGCATCACATATTTAGAATAATTTAAATTATGTGCTAGATGTACTACTGGAGTTATATTTCTGAAGCAATTTTGTTGCACTAAAAATATAATAATCAACTCACTTTTAGCTGAAAAGTTTAAGTTCAAAATGAAATGCTGTAAGAATAAAAATGAACAGAAATTAAAACTGATTTTTATTGGAAATGTTAACCATTTCTTTATCATATTCATGTTAACTCTGCTCCTAGTAAGCTTATTACAATTGTGATATCAAAAAGCAGATAAGTATATTGAGCTCAATCCAAACAATACATTTTGGCTCTCACTATGATTTGAACACAAATGAAACAGGCAGGTTAAGATGTGCAATCTATTCATCATTTTGGGAGCAAGATACAGTTTTTTGTTTTTTTTTTTTTATAGCTACTCAAAAAGTACTGAACTTCCAATTTCTCTGGGTTTGATAATGCTGAAAAGTCACATATTTTGGTTCAATGAAAAAAAATGACAAAAGGCATTAAAAAGATGAATATGATTTGATTTGAATGTTTAGCAACATATCAACACCATATGGGTCATTTAAGGATGAAATTTAATTTTCTTGAGAGCTTTGAAGTAATAAACATATATGTTATTCTTTCACAATTGAATACATGGTAGATGATACTCAGCTTTTGTGCATATACAAGTTTGTGTGGACATAATTACTAGAGGTGGTGATGTGTATGTTTTATGTTGTTTTGTTGAAGTTATATTTTCGAATACAGTTTGATTTAAGAAATTATATCGTATGGATTAAAGTCATGAAAGAATTCTTTCGTGTTGGTTGGTTGATTTTGTTTACCTGCATATCAACCTCTATGGGTTATTTAATGCTGAAATCTAAATATTTTGAACACAATATATGGCTTCAACTAAATACATCCTATAAATAGGTATTGTTGATAATTTTACTACAAATGTTTTGTAGGTATCTTTATATACAAAAATATATTTATACTTTCATTATGTTTTTTGTTTTTGTTTGGGAGAGTTCACTATTTTCCTACAGCTGGGACACTCACAGGTTCTACCACCCTGGGTCAGGGTGGACCTGGGAACAACAGCAATTAAGAGGTGTTTCCATGCTCCTCAAAACCTGATCAGAGGAAAAAAGTGAATAAAACTGTTGAGTATTAACAGATACAAAATATCTCTTAAACATGGAAAGTGGAATGAGAACAATCTACCTTCATGGATTGAATAAAGGGCTCAGTTCAAAATTCCAAGGTTACTAAGTATAATAACAGACACCTGAAGAAGGCTGGAGAGAATAACATCTAAAATATCAT